GCCCCATATCCTGACTCTACAGACTTGAGCCAGAGGATAATTAGATTGAAACAGAGTTTCGCCAATTGTTTATATTCGGCATTTAATTGCCCCGATTCTGTCGGGATGTAGACCCAGTGACGTTGCTGAGAGTTTTATCTGTGTTTTGTCAACACGCAGCGTCGTTCATTTTGTATCTGTAGATGATGTACTAGGGATAATAATACGTTGTATGAGTATCGCCTATGTTGGTGGGCTGAAAAGACCATTGTACTGACGCGTGTGTCGCGTTACTTGTTCATCGAACGCACGTGGCGAGAACATATCGCTTCACCCTCGTGCCAGCCGAACAAAGGATTCTCGTGAAATTCGGCGTTTACAATTGATCGATGCAGAGAGAAGAGCGACTTAATAATGAAAAAATATAATGAAAACTCAAACACGTTCACTTCCCATAGGAAATCTCCGCTTTCTTATTCTACCTGTTGCCATCTTGAATAGCCACAGTCTTATTAACTACAAATACAATAACCTGTAGCTCTAATATATTAATCACGTTAATGAATAAATAAGTTACTGTAGGTTTACAGTGGTTATTAAATTACATTTGTCGCAAGACACTACTAATAGGCGCTTAAATAATTACGTAATGTATTTACATTGCATGGTCTACATTAATCGATGAAGGAGAAATCTATATTATGTTTAAATGACTTACAAGGTATCTGACTTTATGATTGAGTGTGGCTTGAAATTCAGATCTCGCCATCCTACGATTTTCTATGATACAATGTGCGTAGCTGCAACTTCAGAGAACTCTTAATCTTGTAATTGGCAATAAATTTTCATAGACGTACATTCCTGATGATGACATAATTAATGTCGAAATATTGAATCCCAACACGATGGCGTGTATTTCAATACTTGGAGTATGTATTATACTTTCGTACGTGTAGTCGTGTTTAGACTTGGTTGACACTTATGGTTATTTAGACGAGTTCACGCAAAAATGACGCAACATGTGACGTCCTATTAGCGTTTGCCGGCAATTTGCGTCAACATGGCTAATTTTATATTTATCTTTTTTTATGGATGACTAAACACGAAAGCGAATTTTAAATCAAAAATATTTATTATTATAGCAATTATAATGTATTATCCTTATATAGCAATACTGTATAACATCATTGTTAATTTCAATTGTTATTTCCTTTTTGTAAGCCAACTGTTTAACTGGAAAACACTTTTAACACTCAAACATTAAAGCACTGAATTTTACTGGGAATCAAATGCATTTTTTACTACAAAACTAATCCTGAAATTGTCTACCATATTGGATCTGTGCTAAAAAACGGACGATGATATATTAATGTGTCTGTAATTGGTGAGAATTGTTTTGTTCTAATTATCAATTGCAAGCTCTTTTGTAGATATACAAAAAAATGAACAAAAATTGCCACTTCATTCTTCTATTATCACTCATACTGTATTCGATTTTTTTTTTCATTTTAGGCTTTTTGGAACAAAGTGCAACGCATGTACACAATCAATTCCATCACATGAGCTAGTGATGAGGGCGCTGTCGTATGTCTACCACTTGCGGTGTTTTACTTGCGTTATCTGCGATGCTCAGTTGAAAAAAGGCGACGAGTTCGTCATTAAAGACAATCAATTGTTTTGCAAACTGGATTTTGAAAAGCAGTGTGTTTTAACCCAAGTCAATTCTCCTGGTAAGTAAGTATGACTATATAGATCAAGAACAGTGTGAATTTGAAAAAAAAAAATATCTTTTGAAATTTAATATACCGGTAGTATTTTTAATTAAAAAACTTCTTTTAAACAATCACAAAACTTCCCAATGTTAAATGAAAATTTTAGTAAATTAACATAGAAATACATTCAACCTAAATTTCAAATACACCTACACAATAATTACAGGTCATTAAAAATTTAATAGGCCTATAGACCAAACTGCATGTTTGTTAGAACAGATTCATTATTTTATTTATTTTCTTTAAAATCGATATTATTATTAAACTTGATTCTTAATATATAAATACTGTAAAATAAAATAAAATAAATACAATTTAAAAGATTCAAGATATTGAAGCAAACACGATAGCAAGGCCTATCGTCAAAGCGGTTAAGTGACGAGATGATCGATGAGCGGGATGGAAAGACGGAAGTTTAGAATAGAGCACGAAGGACGTAAGTTTAAAATGATTGATTGCCCTATCCCATAATGCAACAATATGCTAACTGTACATTACTGGTAATTCGTTCTTTTTTTCCAAACAGATGGAGTGAGTGAAAATGGTCATACGGACAGACGGGGGATACCAAAGAGACCAAGAAGCATTCTCACAACGCAACAACGAAGAGCTTTGAGGGCGTCCTTCGATATTTCACAGAAGCCATGTCGGAAGGTGGGTCAAACATCAAATATTGCAATTTGAATACTATTTTGTATCTTTGTTAATATATGAAATTATATATTTTATCAATTTAACTTCAAAATTTACAAATCTAGGCTATATATTTTCTATTTTGCATTGTACATTTTTGTTAAATTATCTCTCGCTGGAGAAACAAGTAACTTTAAAATTTACAAAATCTATATATTTTCTTATATTTTGCATTGTATATTTTTGTTAAATTATTTATAGGTACGGGAATCTCTCGCTGGAGAAACAGGTTTAAGTGTTAGGGTCGTACAAGTTTGGTTTCAAAATCAACGAGCTAAGGTGAGTAGGCAAATGAAAGGTAGGCCTATATTTATGGTTAAGGCAAACGTTGAAATAAATTACACAAATGGCGACGTTGACGTAATAAAATTAAATCATTAGGTTGGTAAGCTTAAGTAATAAGTGGAAATGTTCACATTTATAAAATAAAATATAATATAAATAAATTGGACAAAATATGATTCTCTTCGAAATACATTTAACTATACACAATTGTGTATCTCATAATTATTATTATACGTCTATAATTAGGGAAAATGTCCTGCCGCCAGTTGATTCGACTACGAATTAATTATTTTTTTTAAGACTTAATATTGGATTGTATTTTTTGTTCGATTTAGATGAAGAAACTAGCCCGGAGAAACCTAAGTGATACAGACGGTAATGGTCAAAGGAGAAATTCAAGAAATCAGAACAGAAGACCATTAAAAGATAAAGATGAAGGTAATTATAATCTATATTATAGGCCTAAAATAGTTGCCAAAGACATTATTCGGGGACAATATGAGTGTGTTGACAGTAGGAACACTCCGTGTGAACAGTACAGTGTGCTACACTGCGTTCATAAGTCAACACTAGTTTTAGTCAAGTCAACACTGTGTGAATGAAATCGATTTCAGACGGTAAGATTTTTAAGGTATGACAGTATAATTTCTGAGTACCAGCGTCCATATTCTCTCAGAATGTTCGCACCTCATCCCCAACTATGGTGGGGCTGAGGTGGTGTGGCCTCTCACGCACCGCCTCACACCACCAAATCCTGCATCCGCCCAGATGAAAATGAACAGATAATAGCTTAACGTGTATATTTCAGTAAAGGTATCAATACAATAATTCAATACTGTATATTCATTCCGTTATATATTCATTTATTACCCAGACGGATATTCACCTGACGAACTTAAAAGTGACGATGACGATTTCGGTTTCGACGAGTTACTTCAATCAAAATATCCAATGTTACAGTCTGACTTGGCGGGATTTACACAAAACGCAATGATTAGCCAGTTTCAAGATTCTCCGATTGCACATCACCCTGGTAACAACATGCACCAAGGAATGTATGCTGCACACCCTGAACATGAAATGTTTCAACAGGAGATGCATTCACCGATAGAGGGCTCTCTCGACGAAGATTTGATGACCAATCGTGCACAAGTTCCCAGTAATGATGGCAGTCAGGGTCATACAAACATTAGCAATCCTATAGACAAGTTGTATTCCATGCAGGATTCATATTTTAACGCTGTAGAATAATCACCAAACTGTTCATACAATTGCGATTGTTGTCCTCTCTCCTATTTCACATTTGGCACAAGCGATACACAACTTCAAAACCGTACTACCAAAGATGGGAAGGGCAATTGAAGAAGGAGAGCATTGACCATCAAGTTAAGAGACATGACGTTATTGGCTATTCAAAATATGTCAATTTGGCGAAAAGAGTTCGTGGCATTTAATGTTTGCATCCTGTTGACTTTCTTTGGCTTTACTTGACTGTTACATCACACTGAATGGCATTAAAGTTGAAATCGATAACATAATAATTTTCCTTTCAAATTTGTCATTAAACGGTCGCCTTTGATCAATTTGAATTGGAGGAAACAAATTTGGGGTGTATAAAAGAATTCGGTGGAGAGTGGGTTATTGGGCCCGAAACTTAAGATGAGTGGAATAGGAAGCCGCACTAAGAAGAGAATACAAATGTCTACAGTGTTGCAGGTACTAAATAAACCAATTGCGAATAAGTGAAAGTGTTTTCCATTTTTCCATTACGATATAAATAAGGCCAAGTTCATTTAAATAGCGCTAGGCTAATACAGTATAACCCTTTTGTATTCAATTAAATACGCAATTATTTAATAAAAGTATTAATGAAGAGATCTAAATGTGTATTCATTAATGTTCTAAGAAACACATGTCGATGGAATTCTGGTGATCAATGCAGTGCTTAAAATTTATGAGAAATACGGCTCGTATATATAGCTTGATAAAGACTTATAGTCGAAAGTACTCGCTAACTCTGAAAATAAATTTTG